AGTAGCCGGAATTACAGGCATGCACTACCACGCCCGGCTGATTTTTTGATTTACTGTAGAGATGAGGTCTCGCTGCCCAGGCGGGTCTCGAACCCGCGGGCTCAGGCAATCCACTCACCTCAGCCTCCCAAAGGCGCAGGATTACAGGCTGAGCCACCGAGCCCGGCGATATGTCTATTTTTAAGCATCATTCTGTTTTAATTACTGTAGCTTTGTAATGTAGTTGAAATAGGGTACTGTAATGCCTATAAGTTTGTTCTTTTTATACAAGATTGCCGTGACTATATGGAACTGCTGACTAAATAAATGAAAAATAAGTTCATTTATAATGCATGGTGATATACAAGACAAAAGTCACACTGGTTTAAATAAATGATAGTAGAATTAAAATATGGAGACACCACTCAACTTCATAAGCTCCCTCAATAAAACTACCTGTCAGCCAGGCTCGGTGGCTCAGCCTGTAATCCCACGCCTTTGGAAGGCTGAGGTGAGTGGATTGCCTGAGCCCGCGGGTTCGAGACCTGCCTGGGCAGGCGAGACCTCATCTCTACAATAATTCAAAAAAATTAGCTGGGCGTGGTAGCATGCGCCTGTAATTCTGGCTACTCGGAAGGTTGAGGCGGAAGGATCGCCGGAGCCCAGCAGTTCAAGGCTGTGGTGGCTGGGAGCGGCCAATAGACTGCACTCCAGTCTAGGCACTCCAGTCTAGGCGACAGAGTGAGACTCCAACTCAAAAAAAACACAAAACTGTACCTGTCATAGGTTTGAACAACAAATGGAACAAAGGTTTCATTACTGACAACAAACAATGGCACACACAAGATGAAAAATATGGCATAAACAATAGTTTAGTCAAGAGCCTCATACACATGAAGTTGTGAACTTGACCACGGTGCTAAGAGAAATTCCTACACCATTGACTGCTGGCTCAAGGAAGATGCTCATTAGCATACATGATCAACACCATCACAGTGCCTTGAGAGACACTCTTGTGACACTCCTCAAAGGCCAGAATGACAACTGGAAACACTCATCAGTCAGGCACTCTGGATATTTTCTGTATCAGTATCCCAGAACAGCTGACAGCTTTGCTCAGGACTTCAAGGGGCATCTCTGTATGTAGCAGGATGATGCTTAAACATATTAGGCAAAGTGTTCTCCTTCATGTGTTTTATGTTATGTGGTAAATCCACTCTGTGAGATACTCCACAGGAAGCTATGAATAACGTAAAGGTGAGTTATCACTGCAAATAAATAAATAAATAAATAAAAAATAATAGGCCATTCCTGAGGAATGTGTACAAAGGGGACTCAAAAAAAACAGGAATTATTTTTGGAGAGCAGGTCCTTTGCAGTATAGACTTCCCCTACTACGTGAGTGTTCTAGGAACACATCAGTGTACCAGCCAGCATGGTTTTGAGAGTTGGAGAATCTTTCAACCTATTTGCCCATTTCATGATGGGTGATTTATGAGCACACCTGCCCACGCTGTATTGAGTACTCAGCAGTTTTGAACCAAAAACAGCATGACCCCCATGCCCCACCCTTCCGATTCACCTGATCTTAGCTCCAAAGGATTTTTTTTCGTTTCCCTGGATGAAAAAAGTCCTCAAAGGGAAATATTTTGCCAATGTGGAAAAAGTAAAACAAAAAATAGCAGAAACACTAAAAGAGGCATCAAAATTGACAAGCTCAAAAAACTGTCTTGAGCAGTGGAAAAAGTGTCTCAATAGGTGTACTGTATCAAAGAGTACTTTAAAAGTGACTGAAGTTTAAACATGTAAGAATAAATATACAATTTTTAATAAATCCCAGGTTTTTTTGGCTCCCCACTTTTATATCAAATGCAAGTTTGAGAAAAAATCATGCAAACTTAAGAGAATAAGAAATCCAGAAGAGCCAGGTTTTAAAATATGGAATAGTAAGAATTGTGGAAAAGAGATAAAAATACAATATACAGAGGTGAAATTTTGTGGGGTCTTGAGAAGGCCCACTGCATTCTTCCAACAGATGCTATGCTAAAGCTTGAAAAAAGTAAGTTACACATCCCCTTTAGGACTGGAGTCCGATGAGAGGACAGTTCTGCCAACTGTCTTTAAAATTATGCCAAGTAATAGTCCCAGAGGATCCAGCCCACTTCCTTGTTACACACACCTGAAAAACATGGCAAAAACTAAATGGAAGAAAAGGCTTGAGAGAGCATCATGAAGTTTCCAGGGTCCCAGATGCAAAGGAAGACCAGAAAGCATTCCCCATCTCAGAACCAGGTCTTCCAAGCACATGAAATGGGACATAACATGAATAGCTCCAGACATTAGGGCTGTGGAGGGTCAGGATTTGAACTATATGGACTGAGAACTGGGCATCAGATGGAATCAAGTATAGAAGGAGAGACCTAGAAGGAAAGTAACCTTTTCAAAAGGAACCAGGTCAGGTGTGATGGCTCACACCAACGCACCTTAGGAGGCCAAGGTGGGAGAATCGTTTAAGCCCAGAGACCAGCCTAGGAGGCATAGTGAGACCCTGTCTCCATAAAATATCAAAAAATTAGGCAGGCATGGTGTCATGTAGTTGTAGTCCCAGATATCTGGGAGGCTGAAGTGGGAGGATTCGCTTGAGTCCAGGAGTTAGAGGATGTGGTGAATTGCGATTGTGCCATTACACTCCAGCCTGGGCAACACACTGAGATCCCAACTGAAAAAAAAAAAAAGAAAAAAGAAAGGAACCAAAGTTATAGTGAAAGTCAGATGACAGAGTGTTATCCATCATGATGAAAACTTCCCATTTATCTGTTGGAGCTGCAACATCCCTAGATGGTGACAGGACAAACTATGATGCAACTAGAGGACACAGTGACAAGTGGAAACAAAGGCAGGTTTTCGTTCAGGGCTCACAGGATTTAAACTTGAATTTCCCACTGAACTCTCCCATTTGCAGACAGAGAGTTTCCATTTAATGGTGCGGCTTCCTCTCTGCCCCCCTGAGCTCTTACCTGTGATCACCCCCTCGATCCATTCCCACCCTTTTGATTTTCTTGCCATTTTCACTAGGCTCTCCACAGTCCAGGGATTCCTCCCTTGCTCCAACATGGAGATAATACTCAGGTCAAAACAAGACATTCCTGAAAAGAAAGGAATACAATGTGTCAGGGTTTTCCCAGAATCCCAGCCCTATATTTATGTGGAGAGAGAGGACATTACAGATGGATCTAGAAAAACATTTCCAAAATTCATCCTCTGGAATATCTCCCTCTTCATGGTTAGGAAACCATGAATAAGTAATAAGTAGACATCTAGTGCTCTGCCTTGAACCACTAAATAAAATCACAGGGGTAGAAAACAGGGAACTGGACATTTTAAAAGTCTGTTGTAAGGTATTATGCATACAAAAGCTTTGAACCCCTCCAGTGATATTATCAGGAAGGGGGCAGATCATCTGAAGAAAAAGGAAGATTAATGTCCAGATTCTGCATTACAGAGACTTTCATTTCTGAGTCAACACAGCTTCAATCTCAGTTAAGCAAGTCAAGGGCTTAACTGAGAAGTCAAGAGAAACACAAGGGAAAATGCAAACATACACAAGAACAGATCCTGACTTCCAGGAGAAAGTCATCCTTACCCAAGGAGACCAGGTGTCTGTAGGTCTCCAACATCACATCCTTGTATAAAGCCCTTTGAGTGCGGTCAAGGCACTTCCACTCCTCCTGAGAGAATTCGATGGCCACATCTCTAAATGTCAGAGGTCCCTGAAATGAAAAAGACATCTCAACAAAGGGCTACAGAGAGGTCTAACCTTCACATGCACGGAGAAGAGGAGAGAACTGTAAGAACAGATTCAGCTGAAGGGAGTGGGGCTGACATATCCAGCCTGTGATTTGGTTAACATATATATTTGTTTTCTGTCCCATTTTCCTGAGATGCCACTCACTTGGAATCTGTGGAATGCTAAGTGTTTTCCTGTATGCTGAGAAAACAGGTGGCCAGAGGCCCCTAGATGGCTTCAGAATGGGGGCTGGTCACCAAAATTCAAGGCAGAGATTAGAGGGCTGGGACTTTCACCTCTGGTACCCAAACTCCCAAGAGGAAAGAGGGGCTGAAGGTTCAGTTGATCACAGTGACCAATGATATAAACAACCGAGCCTACATGAAAATTCAAAAGGACAGGGTTCAGAGGAGCTTCGGGATAGGTGAACACATGGAGACCCCAGCAGTGTGGCACTCTGAAAGAGGGCACGAAAGCTCAGCATCCCTTTTCCCATACCTCGCCCAGTAGATCACTTCCGTCCTACTGTTCATCTGTGTACTGTATAATATCCAGTACAAAAAAAAGGTATATCTATGTAACATGTTTCCCTGCATTTTGTGAGCCTGTCTAGAAAGTTAGGGTTCAGGGGAATCCACAATTTATATCTGATCAGTAAAAAGCACAGGCCACAATCTGTGTTTGCAACCAGCAATGAAGAGTGTGCACTATGTGGGATTAAGTCTTCAACCTGTGAAATCTGATTCTATATCCAGATAGATAATATCAGTATTGAATTGAACAAAAGGGGCAGGGTGTGCACTTTGGGAGGCCAAGACAAGAGGATTTGCTTGAGCCCAGGAGTTCAAGATCACCCTGGGCAACATAGTAAGACCTTGTTTCCACAAAAAAATCAAAATAAATTAGCTAGGCATGGTGGCAAGTGCCTGTAGTCCCAGCTTTTCAGGAGGCTGAGGTGGAAGGATCACCTGAGCCCAGGAGATCGAAGCTGCAGTGAGCCATGATTATGCCACTGCACTCCAGCCTGGGTGAAAGTGAGATCCTGACTTAAAAAACAAACAAAAAACCCAGCTGCAGAAGTACTTGCTTGGCATTTGTGTGGGAAATCTCAATACATCTGGTATCACAGTAGCAATCTGAGTTGTGAGAGTATAGAAAGAAAACCTCACTCAGTGCTTAAACACTTTAAGGTATTTTTTAACAAGTTATGTGACCATAATTCTATGTTATTTACTTTTCCCTAAGAGGTTATGACATCCTCTAAATCAGTATGGATATCTCAGTTTTGCAGACAATACAAGAAATACACAAATAAAAACCCAACATAAACTTATATCTGTAGGTACTATTTTTGACACTCTAAATGATATCCAGTAACTAAATGAGCTAAAGATACCGAGTGGTATCTTCAGAGATGACAACGTCCACAGGTTAGCTGGGCATGGTGGCTCACATTTGTAATTCCAGCATTTTGTGAGGCTGAGATGGCTGGACTGCTTGAGCCCAGGAGTTCGAGATCACCCTAGGCAACATAGTGAGACTTTGTCTCTAAAACAAACAAACAAACAAAAAAGGAAAAAAAGAAACATAGGTCTAATGTAAAAACTGTGGATGGCAGCAATAGCAATGACTGACCTTTCTGAATACTGACCACATACAAGGCATTATTCTATTATTCTAAGGGCTTTTTTTGTACTAACTCGCATGGCAATCTAATAGTTCATGAGAGAAAGATCTGTTCCCATCTTACTAGGAGACAACTGTGTTACAGAGACGCTAAGAAACTTGTCTCAGGTCCAGGAGCACCCAAGCCTTTAAGAATCAAAATGAAATCTAAAGAATCAAAGAATTTAAACAGAAATAACATCAAAAGCAAATTTTTTTTTTTTTAGAGATGAGGTTTTGCTCTGTCACTCAGGCTAGAGTGCAGTGGTGTAAGTATAACTCGCTGCAGTCTCAAGCTCTTGGCCTCAAGTGATCCTCCTGCCTCAGCCTCCCAAGTAGCTGAGACTACAGGCACCTGCCATTGCATCTGGCTTCACAAGTAAATTGACAGTAGATGACTCAATTGAGAAAAGTTAAAGTAAGTTCAAGGGTAACAGCATGGAACTGCATAAAAGGTCATTGTAAACACACACATTTATTAAAAAAAAAAGCCGAGCGTGGTAGCACACACCTGTAGTTCCAACTACTTGGAAGGCTAAGGGAAAAGGATTGCTGGAGCCCAGCAGGTGGATGCTGGGGTGGCCGGGAGCATGCCACTGCACTCCAGCCTGGCCACCAGAGTGAGATTCCAGCCTGGGCACCAGAGTGAGACTCCAACTCAAAAATAAAAAATAAAAAAAAAAAATATATATATAAAACTTATTTCAAGTGAAGGTATGTCTTTGATAAAAACCATGGGCTTATGCAGCCATACACTCAAGCACACACATCACACAAACATAGAGTTAAAATAAATTACATAATAGGAGCTATGTCCCACTGACATTGTTTTCAATGATTTTAAAATTATCACTTTTGCTCACATGCATCTCAGCAAGTTGGGACAATGTAAATGCACAAATTGTACTTAATTTAATTTACAAACACTATTGTACAGTTAACTATCTTGAAAGGCACAACATAAAAGTACCATATAGAAACTTGAGCTCCAATCTCTATTAAGTGTACATACCCCAAAATATAGATACAATTTTATCCAGTCAGACTTAGGTACTTAAACATTAACAAAACCCAAATGGAGTTTATTAGTTTATTCCCCTAATAAAACCATAACATACGACTGAAAAACGTTTGAGTATTATACCATAATTGAATAGAGTTAGATGAAAAATATGTTTAAAGGCAGTGTTTACCTCAGGAAATTAGTAGATGATTAATATTGGACCAGAAAGAAAATTTGTAAACAAAACCAAAAAATAATACCTAACATTAAAGTGACAAAATTTCACCAAACATCCTGATCACCAGTAAACGCTGGACGCACTTCCTCTAATATGGAGAAAAGGGGGCTGGCCAGGGCTCCAGTCAAACACCACTGGACAAGACAGTCGAGCAGGGATTAGAAAAAAAAGATCAAAAAAGAGGAAAAGAGTGGAAAAAAGGTGGGTGAGGGGATGGACAGGGAAGAGAGCAGAGATCTGCATTTCTTAAAACTAGCAGATGACATCTGCAATCGAGGAGAACAGTCATTTAAGCATAAGAACCAATAATATAATGAAAACAGTCTTCCTTATTTAGTAGCTCTAATTACACAAAAAATGACACAATCCATAATTCCAATAGGAAATATACCATGGCATCTAATTAAAATACATTTCCAGACCTATGTAAAGAAATTCCAAAGACTGAACTGAAGTGATGTCAATAAGACAGAGGAACAGTAAGTCCTAAACAATACTTCCATCTTGAAGACACACATTTAATAACAATACTTGGTTCAACTGCCTTTGTAAGAAACCTAGAAACCGCTTAAGTTGGAACTCTTAAAAAAAAAAAAAAAAAGCCGGGTGTGGTGGCTCACGCCTGTAATCCCAGTACTTTGGGGGGTGGAGGCGAGAGAATTGCCTGAGCCCAGGAGTTTGAGACCAGCTTGGGCAACACAGCGAGAGCTCATCTCTACAAAAAAATCAAAAATATTAGCCAGGCATAGTGGTATATAACTTTACTCCCAGCTAACTGGGAGGCTAAGGCAGAAGGATTGCCTGAACCAGGAGGCTGAGGCTACAGTGAACCTTGATTGTGCCACTGCACTCCAGCCTAGGCAACAGAGTGAGACCCTGACTCAAACAAAGAAAACTCGATATACCACAATGAAACATTCACTGAAGAATTTTTATTAAATCCCCTAATGATATAGAAATCCAATTCCTCAGGTTGAGATGTGAGGGAGGGTAGAAGGCTTGACAGGAAAGATACTCTGAGCAGTATGTTTGTAATTTTACTATAAAACAAATACAAGGGGGACCCCCAAAAAATCCAGGAATTATATTTTGGAGGCAAGACCTTTACTTATAGTACAGGTTCCCCCCCCCAAGATAAGTGTTCCAGGAACCCATTGGCATCAGTGCACTAGCTTGTGCTGTCGTGAGAGGCTACCTTCAGCTTCAGTGAATTTGTTTAGAGATTCTTTCAACATGTTTGCCCATTTCATGATAGGTGACTGATGAGCCACCTGCCCACACTGCGCTGAGTGTTCAGAAGTTTTTGACCAAAAATGACATGTCCCCATGCCTCACCCTCCTTATTCACCCAATCTCACCCCAAGGGACTTTTTTTGTTTACCCAGATGAAAAAGTCCTCAAAGGGAAACATTGGTGGAAAGGTGAAACAAAAAACAGCAGAAGCACTAAAAGAATTGATAAGTTTGACAAGTTCAGCTGGGTACAGTGGCTCATGCCTGTAAACCCAGCATTTTGGGAGCCAGAGGCAAGAGGATTGCCTGAGTTCAGGGGTTTGAGAGCAGCCTGGGCAACTTTGGGAGACCTCGTCTCCACAATAAATCAAAAAATTAGCTGGGCATGTGGCGCATGCCTATAGTTACAGCTGTTTGGAAAGTTGAGGTGGAAGGATCACCTGAGTCCAGCAGGTTGAGGCTTTGGTGGCCATGAGCGTGCCACTGCACTCCAGTCTGTGCAACAGAGTGAGACTAAAAAAACAAGAGGATTTGAAGAGTTCTAGATACCTTATACATGTAGTTCACAATAGGGTTCGCGTTTCTATGAGAATCTAATTCTGCCACTGATCTGACAGGAAGGCAAACTCTGCTTACTGTGCTGCTCACCTTCTGCTGTGTGGCCTGTTTTTTAACAGGCTACAGACTGGTACTGGTGCACAGTCCAAGGGTTGGGAATCCCTGGTCTAATGGTAAAAAAGTTCTGTTCCTATGTCAGAAAAATGATAAGCATTCCCACTAAAACATCTGTTGCAGGAAACATCACATTATTTGAGGTATGATTTCCTGAGAATGCTTTAATGAATCTCCTGCTGATTGACATTTAGGTTGATTTCATACATTAAAATGGATGGTGGAATAAAACACTCTGTATTACTGATGTCTGCCTTAACTTTCCATCCCACTCCCAGTTATTTGGAGTTAGAAACACAGTGACTCACTTATTGGAAAGATTTCTTTCCCCTTAGTGCTCTCATTTTGCAGCATTTACTAGGTCCTTGTGCACATGAATATGTGACTTCCATGTGCAGCTCCTCTAATCCTGGTGTAGAGAGCACACAGTGCACCCAGGTGTGGCCCCTAAACAACCCTGCTGCCCAACAGCTCTCACACCATGGGGTCCGTACCCCATCTCCACCCACGTCTGGTGTGAGCCCTTCCCAGGACTATGGCCCATGGAGCCTCCTTGCAAGTTCACGTCACCACTTGGTCACAGGGAGATGGAATCTAAGTGGAGACAAGAGGAACCGAGGGAAAGCAGGGGTGAGTGTGAGCAGACACAGCAGGCAGGACGCGTCAGACCCAGAGGGGATGAGTAACTCCAATGCCTGGCATTTCAGAAAGGAAGGAAATGGTAATCCACCGAGAAGGTCGCTTTACCTGAGAGAGAGCCATCCCTGATGGCTTTTCTTGACTTCTCCTCCTCTTCTGGGCTTCTTCATGCACCATGAGGTTTTAGATGTCAACCCTGGATGGCAAAAACATGCTGCTCATTGCTCAGAATCAACATACCCCTGTCCTGTGCCACAACCACACACACAGGGAAGACCTCACCCTGTGGAAAGATGGTCCTCTGCTGCCCACTGCACCATGGGGACACAGAGACAATAAACACTTACAGGAATAAATGAATCTTATTCCTTTCTTCAGAACTGCTCCCCTCCTGGGGACGTCCACATACTCGCTGCAGCAGTGGTAATTTGGGCTGGCTTGAGCTCCCCCCCAGGGCACAGACCCGGCCCTGACCAAACCCCATGCAGAGGACAGTATCCCCTCACCTCTCTGGGGATCACGGGGTAACCTCAGCCCTCATAATGGAGGACACAGATTAGAATCAACTTTAAATACCATTAAGGACAGGCCCCAACCTATTTGAATGAAAGTTTCTGGGAAGGGGGCACAAGAGATGTTTCTACAAAACTCTAATGAGAAAACAGAATCGAGCTCCACTCAGATGGGCAGGGCCAGCACAAACCTCCCACCTTCTGGCTCTGCTGTCTCCCTGGGGCCTTGTGGTCACCAGGATCCAGAAAGTAGAAGGCAAAACAGCAAAAGAAACCTGTTGAATAGGCAATATAGAGCACAGGTGGGGATGAGGGTGTGATTGGAATGTTCAACAGGGAGACATGGGGCGGCACAGAAGTCCCCACTGAGAGAGTGACATCAGAACAAAGACCTGGGAAGGAAGTGTGTTTACACCTGCAGCTGAAGGACCAGAGAGTTATAGGCAGAGGGACAGCCCAAGTGAAGGCCCTGAGGCAGGAGAAACCTTGGCTCCAGGAAAAGAGAGGCCTGTGTGGCTGGAGCAGAGTTAGCAAGGAGGGCATAAGAGAGGTCAGAGGAGTCCTGGGGGAGCAGATCAAGGAGGGCCAGGGCTTCATATATTCTTCTCCAATGCCTCAAAAGAATTTTAGAAATGATGTATTTCCTAACCCCTTTCAAGTAAGCATGTAAATTTTTCTTTATGTTTATAAATTAACATACTTATACTGTAATATCTTACATATTTTAAATATATAAGAAGTTCAGCTAGGCCCCAGGAAACACAGGCTGGCCCTCATTTAAGATGTGCTGGGCAGCAGGAAATGCATTTGGGGAGTTCAGGAAGTCACTCCTGAACACATGAAGGGGGAGATGCCTGTTAGATGTCCCAGAAGAGTAGGCGGGACAACTGGACACAGGATTCTGGAGTTCAGGGGAGAGGTTTGCAGGGGAAATGGAGACATGCAGAAGAGTTTAAAGCCAAGAGATGAGATGATAAGGAAAGGCAGTGGGTGTGGACAGAGACGAGAAGAGGTTCCAGGACTGAGCTGTGGGTTACTCCATACTCAGAGAACAGGGAGATCAGCAGACATCAGTAGTGGCAAGTGTGAAGTGATCGTGGAGGTGACAAGAACATGATTAATAGTTTTGTAATGTCCTCAAATCCAGGAAAACAGAAGAGAAAGTGATCAACAGTGCTACAAGCTCCTGATAGAAAAAGAAAGAAGACAGGACATTTAATATTGGACTGAGAAATGTGGAGTTCACTCATGACTCTGACTAGAAAATACCAGTGAGATGCTGGATATAAAAGCTCGACTGATCAAATGGGAATTTAAGACAAAGTAAAACAAAGTAAAAAATCTTTGGTGTATTATGCTCCTAAACGTAGCACAGAAGGGAAAATTTACTAGAGCGTTTTGTTTTAAAGATGGAAGAGTAGAAGGTAAAAAAAGTCTTTATTTTGTTCGTGTCTGTGTTTTAATGAATGTTACAGTAATACCCCTACATATGAACCTTCGAGTTATGAACTTTAACAACACACACTTGAGTTTTTTAATGTATTATTTTATCTCTACCAGGTGTCAGTATAGCCTGTTAAATACATATAGTACTATATACCCGGTTGTGTTAGTTGGGTACCTAGGCTTACTTTGTCAGACTTAAAACAAATTGGACTTATAAATGTGCTCTTGGAAGGGAACTTGTTTGTATGTTGGGGACTTCCTGTATCTCCATCTGGGTACACTGAGCAAAATAATTCCCTAGAAGGTAAAAATGATGACACCACGGAGGAAGGATGCCATACTGTCCTAAGACTGAGTGGGTCTGGCACGTGGGGCACAACTGCAGGGTTAGCAACAGCCAGAAGCAGGGGTAACCAATTCCCAGTCACTACTGGGTAGACATCACAGACACTGAGACAGATGGGTGGGCAGGTTGGAGGTCTCTCCCCTTTTGCTGTCTGAAATGAGTAAAAACCAAAATGGTCACATTGCTCTCACACTCAACACTGAATACTCCACCTCTAGTCACCAAAATGTATGTGTATATGTGTGTGTGTGGTTTTTCCTACACTGACTAGTTCTCCAGTGGACTCCCAGCTGGGGGGAGGTCCTACAACTTAACTCAATCCTAACAATATCTACAGGATAACATCAGATCCCACAGCTTAAGAGCTCAGACCCATAAGACTGCCCCTTATTTCAGATGTGGTAAGGAGCAGATATCTGTCATCTATACTTCTAAATGACCTGATAAATACTGTGCTTCTCTTAACTCTCCTCCACTCTGATTAACTCGCTAGGATGACTCCTCCATCTGGCTGTTCATCTGCATCCCTGTAATATCCTGTAACAAACAGTAAACTGAGTAAGTTGTTTCCCTGAGCTCTGTGAGCTGCTCTGGGAAATCAGTGGTACCTGAGGAGAGGGTCATGGGAATCCCCAGTTTACACCTAGTCTGTCAAATATTGAGGTCCCAACCTAGGACTTGGCATCTGAAGTGTCAGACTGAGTCAAATATAGGACACCCAGTTGACATCTGATGGGAGAATGGGTTGCTGGTGGTGAACGCTTTACACATTTTGATGATTAGCAGTGAAGTATTGTGTGTCGAGTGTCCCCTGTTGTGTGTAACAGGAAGAAAAATACTTTGATTTTTCCTCCCATCTGATACTCCACTCCACACCCTCCCCCATCCCAAGAAAAGGGAAGGAAGCGACCCACAACCCAATGAGTCAAGTCACTGTCCTTTGGATGAACAGGGACTGCAAATGGAAGCTAGCTTTTGATGCCAAGAATTACAGAGTGCACCAGTTTTAAAGACAGGGGTTTTGTAATTCTAATCTTCATCAGTATATTTTAAACAAATCTTAAATTTGTTAGATGACGAGAGAAACCAATATGCCACAGCTTAATTAATAGTCACATCCAATCATCTCATCCCTCACCTGGATCAGGGTCCCCTCTTCCTTCATTATTGTTTTTCCCTCCGTCACTCTGTATATCTCTCTCATTCCCATCTTCTCTCTCTAGCTGTTTTTCTTTTCTGTTTCTCCCTGGTTCTGCCCCTCATTTTGTTCCCCTCTCTCTCGTGCTCTTTCTCCCCTTCTTCCCTCTATTCCTTCTCTTCCACCGTTTTGATTCATTCTTGTAACTTCCTGCACCTCTGGTTCCTCTTTCTCCCCAATCTTTCGATTGTCCCTAATCATATATTTTTGCCTTTTTCCTCCCCAACCTCTGGTCTCCCTATAAACTCCCTCTTCCCTGTTACACTCCCTGGTCCCCACTCTCTGGCACCCCCAGATCCCTAGGCTTCCTCTCTGCCCTGCTTTCCCCTCTGCTTTCCTTGTCACCAGCTGTCCCCTCTCATTGTCCCAGCACGACGCTGCTCTTTTTACTGTGGCTCCAAATCATTCCTCCTCTCCCCTTCCCCTACTCTCTCTCTGAGGGTCCTTCCCCACCCCCGCCCACAGCTGTCCCTCTCCCTATCTTGCTTCCCTTCATCTCTCTGGAGATCCGGCTTTTCTCTAAATATCTCCAGTTTTTCTCTACATTTCTCCAGTTACTTTTCTCACCCTGTTCCTTCTTTCCCTGCTGTTGTCTTTGCAAATCCCTCACTCATCCTCTACTTTACCACCTGTTCACACATCTCCTTCATTCTCCTTTTCCTTTTCAGTTTTTCTATGCTCCTCCCCAGTCGCAGTCTTCTCCGGAACCCCTTTCTCACACATTTACAGGAAGAAGGATGGGCTAAGAGTCCCGCCTTCTGGAAGAGCCGCATTTCCCCCCCCCCGGGGGGGGGGGGGGGGGGGGGGCGGCCGGTCTCTTAGGAGAGGGGAGGGAGCTGCAGAATCCAGGACCACGTGGAAGACGCGGCTTCTCTCGGATTGAGGCAGAGGCGCTGCCTCCAGGGGCAGACAAGAGCGAGGCTTGGGGGACCGGACAGACCTGAATCCACCTCGCAAGTGACGACTTTAAAAGGCGCGGAGAGGGAGGAGAGGTCAGGAAAGGGTGCCAAGCCCGGAAGAAGACGCGGAAGGCCGTGGCGACGTGGCCCGAAGGCAGAAGGACCAGCCTCAGGGGGATTTGAACCCCGAGGAAAAGCGACTCCCGGACCCACAGCGCGAGGTCTGAGTTTACCTGGGGTGGAGGGGGGGTGGTGCGGGGATTGTAAGGTCCGTAGCGACCACGGGCACCGGGCATGGAAACGGAGGACGAAGAAGCGCAAGTCTGGTCTAGCTACACTTACACTCACGCTCCGGGGGTCCTTTTTCACTCTGCGCGATCCGCTTCCGGGACTGCAGGAGACCGCGCGCGCGGGCGGAGGAAAGAGTCCCGGAGGCCTGGGGGTGTGGCCGGGGCGGGGCGTGGAGGTAGGCGGGGTCTACGGAAGGACAGCGTTAGGGGCGGGGCCGGACGTGAGAGAGGCGGGGTCTGCGGAAGGACCGCGGGAGGGGCGGGCCAGGGCGTGGAGAGAGGGAGGGCTGCGGAGGGGGCGGGGCCGGAGCTGAAGGGGCGGAGCCTGAGCTTCCCTCCGCTTTGCTGCCGGACGCCTCGCCTTGTAGAGTCTTTCTAATGTTTCAACAGTTTTAAGGTAAAAGCACAGAGTTGAGTGGACGACTTAGGTTGGAAACCAAAGTTTTCCTCTTACCACATTTAAAGTGGTTTATCTAAAAACTA